CCAAAGTTGTATTCCAAAAGTTTTGGATAAATAAAATTACTAAAAAATTGAAATAAAAGAATATATATAAGATCTAAGCCTCAGTTTTTATTAGATTCTGCAGGAGCACACTATTATAAATCAAATAGCTTTATCATTTTCTAAGCACTTGCATTTTTCATTTTTTTTCTTTTTTTGAGACACAGTCTCCCTCTGTCACCTAAGCTAAAATGCACTGATGTCATCATAGTTGACTGCAACCTCAAATTCCTAAACTCAGGCAACCCTTCTGTCTTACTCTCCAGAGTAGCTGGGACTATAGACCAGTACCACCACACCCAGCTAATTTTTCTGTTTTTTGGAGAGACTGATCTCAAACTTCTGGCCTCAAGCAGTTGTCCCACCTCAGACTCCCAGAGTGCTCAGATTACAGGCTGCTACCAGGCCCTGCCTAGACACTTATTTTTAATTTCTTTATCTGATTGTGGCCTAAAAACAGTTAGTAACCCAGTATTTACTGTTGTAAGCCAGCATTAGTCCATCAAACACAATCAAGTAGAACTGTTCATTGTGGTTTAAATCTTTGAAATTTGTTGAGACTTGCCTTATAACATAGCATATGATCCATTTCAATATATGTTCCACGTGCATTTTAAAGGAAGATATATGCTATAGTTGTAGGTTTGAGTGTTTTATGTATGTCAGTTAAATCAAGTGCGTTCATCATGTTATTTAATTTTTCATTGCTCTTTCTCTTTCTGTCTACTTGTTTTACCGAGAGGTATCTCTAACAATAACTGGATTTGTGTGGGTTATTTTTTTTAGTTCTCTCAGTTTTTCTTTATTTGAGGATATATTATTAGGCATATTCAAATTTATAGTTGCTTTGTGTTGCCCATAAATTGATCCTTATAAGGCCATGAAATTGCCTGCTTTATCTCTATTTTTCCATTTTACCCTAAAGTGTACTTCATCTGATAGTGTGCCAATGCCAGCTTTATATTTCATTTTGTTAGTGTATATCTTTTTCTGTTCTTTAAAAAAAATGTTTTTAATCACCGTGTAGTTTGCTGGGTTTTTACTTACTTATTTTAACCTGCTAAATTATTTTATTTATAATAACTTTTCTATGTATTTCCTTAATTTTTCAGATAACTGAAATTATTTACAAAGATGATGATCGTATGCTTAGAAAATACTTTCTTCTTTTCTTTTTTTTTAAATTTTTTTCATAGTAATATGAAGTTATAAATGATTAGGTTACAATGTTTGCTTTTGTTAGGTGGTTGTTGTGTCGTGCACCCAGGAGGTGTGGCCTTATGTTGTGCCCATTAGGTGGGAGCACAGAACTCCCCCATCCCCCTTCTCCCCTCCTCCCAACTTGAATTGGATTGAGTTTTTCTCTTATGTGGGCGTGTATTAGTTCATCTACTGGCTTTGTATTAGTATTGAGTATGTTGGATACTTGCTTTTCCATTCTTGTGATACTTTACTAAGAAGAATGTGTTTTAACCCCATCCAGGTTAATGCAAAAGATGTAAAGTCTGCTTTTTTAAGGCTGAATAGTATTCCATGGTATACATATACCACAGTTTATTAGTTTGCTGGGTTTTATTAATCAAGCATATTGAGATATAATTTACATAGAATAAAATGTGCCATTTAAATGCACAGTGTGGTGAGTTTGGCAAATGCATACTTGCTTGTAACCCCTAGGGTACTCTGACCATTTCCACCAGCTCCAAAGGTTCCTTGATGTACTTGCCCATTGCCGGTCCCTCCCCACAGCTCAGGCAATTCTTATTCTTTCTGCCAGTGTAGATTAGATATCTTTTTTCTAGAGTTTCATATAAGTAGAGTTTTATTGTATATACAATTTGGGGTTTGGCTTCTTTGAGGGGAAAATGTGGTACAGAATGTTGGGCTTATGACAATGCATTTCTCTAATCTCCAGGATCTTGGCCTTCAAAACCTGGCTGACTTGGCAGCCATCTGGTGCTTTTCTACTGATGTATTTATATTTTATTCAGCTCTTCTAGTTGGATATTGGTGGGAAGATTGGTCTTTAATAGCCAGAAGCAGTAGGACTCCAGCAATATTTAGTGGAAGCACAAAGGTATAGAGATATGAAGGGTGATGAGGAGCTAATTCAGTGGAATCTAGGGAATTCTCTCCTGAAAACTGAGAGGGACTGACAAATTCAAGAGCATGTTATTTCCATTAAGTCTAGGGGAGGTATTTTATATTGTATTATCAGGCAGGATTCAGTGCCAGAAACTAGGTACTTTGAGCACGAGAGTATTTGGTATAGGCCACAAATTGCTGGAAGGTCTGTAGGAGCGTGTTCTGCAGGTGCCCTGTAAGAAAGACTCCCTAAACCATTACAGAGCTGCTCTGTCAGGGGAGCGGCTGCCTCCCAGGCTGCCACTAACACTGGGCAAGAAACACAGCTGCTGCCACCACTACGCTGTGCTTTGACTCGCTAGCACCAATGGTAAAGAGGCCCAGCAAGAAAGCCTTCCCCTCATTTCAATCTGCCAAGTCTCACAAGAATACTAATCGATGGAACCTAATCAAATACTACTTGAAAGGAATAAATATAGGAATTGTAGTTTGGGGCTAAGGAACTTTTCCAAGTATTAGGAGGTAGAATGGGGGGGGTCATAAGAGCCAATCCAAAGTTTCTACTATGCACATAAATTAAAACCTCAGTGTCCCTCTATCTTAGAAAAGTGTGTGGTGGAGAAGTCAGTGTTATTCTGAATAAAGTATAAACTCATTTTTTTCTTCTGACATTGCCATCAATATAATGTTTAAGATGACTTTCGATCATCTGTGCCTTTGACTTTTTCACCTGCTAAGTGAGCATATTATGGCCTATAATTTAAATATTCAGAATGCCTATCAATTAATTACATGTTATGTTCAAGTTCAATTAATATTTGTAGAAGATATGGAAGATGCCCAGCCTCACCTTCATAACTCTAAAAATTTAAACAGCATACCACGATTGACAATACCTAATTCCTGTTTCTTAGATCATTAGTAGAGATAATCATGAAATCAACTTATTTCATAACTAAATGTGTAAAATTTTCATCAGCCATCTTTGTACCTCTTATAGTATATTCAAGGACACTCTATGGTGATATATTCCGTGAGTGTTTATAGCAATTCCAATCTTGATAAGAAAATGTCAGTGGCATCCTCAAGGGCAAAAAGCTAAATCTGGCGTCCCCCCAGCATTACCCTTTCTGCTGTATCACCAAGTTTCTTGATCTATTTTTCCTGCTTTCTTCTTCCTTCATGAAGTGGGTGGGTGGTATGCTTTCAGTAAAAGGCCTGAATAAAGTCAGGACAATTTACACCAATGCTAGCTAGATGCTTTTTGGTTTGTTGTAAGCTACTGAGGCTGTATGATGTTTTCAGCAGCTATAGATGGTTTACACTTCAGGGGAGAATATAAAATAAAAACAAACACAAAGAGGCTGGTGAACTGTAATATGATTGTTAGCCCAAGCGTTAAGCGATGACAATATTCAGGACCAAAAGTTAGAAAGTATGTGATGTTTAAATAGCTTTAATGTGACAGTTTGAGGCTAGTATTTTTGTATGTCAGGCTTTGTTTGTGATTTATAATGATTCCGCCTTTGAAATTCACCTCAATTTCCTATTGCTGTTTGCATTAGAAAGAATTCATTGCAAAGAACTCTGAAAAAGACTTAATTTTATCTTAGGGTACTGTGAATCCATAACTACACACTGAAAATATACTAATAGGATCATTGCAGAGAACAGAGAGAATTTTCTATAATATATTTTTATTATCACTCATCTATTATTATTAGTTCATTCATCTGTATTAGTAAATATGATGTTTAGCATATGGGTACTACATAGTTGCCTTTTTTAACATGCATTTTATTTTTGTGAAATCATAAAATGATGACTTTGTGAACTAAAATAAAATCTTAAGCTAGCTGACTGAATGGACCCCTCTCTTGGCCGAGAGGATACCCTAAAATTGAGTTGCTGACCATGAGAAGGGAGATCAGACAAACCTCTGCATGCCTCCCTCCCTTCCTGGAGATATCCTTTGTCACTCATTGGCAGGCCTAAATCTATACAAGACAAAGATGAAAGAAACCACACCTGCAGGTCCTCAATTGAGTCTGAGTGGAGTAGTGGCTTCCCTCTGATTAACAGGCTTCCTTATGTTAAAACATTTCAAGTCTTTAGACAAAGTTGCATTTTTTAACCAATTACAAATCAAAGAGTCTTTAAACTCACCTATAACATGTTAAGCTCCCCCCCCACCTTTAAGACGTCCCACCTTTAGGGGCCAAACCAGTGAACACCATCCATGTTATTGATTTACAACTTCACATGTAATTCCCGTCTCCATGAAATACATAAAACCAAACTGTAACCCAACCACAGTGAGTCCACTGCTCAAGGCTTCTTGGGTATGTGGCTCAGAGCTGTCAGCCTCAAACTTGACTCAAAATAAACCTCTTTACTTTACAGAGTTTGGCTTCTTTTCTGTTGACAACTTAAGACTTTAAAAGACTCTGTGGGTTGGTTTTCCTCTTCCAGAAAAATACTCTTCTTCGCAGATGGATAGTCATCTTTTAAAAAAAAAAAAAAAGGCGTGGGAAAAGACAGTTATTTTGTTTACCTGACCATTCACTTAGTTCCAGAAAATTCTTTGGTCAAATGTTTGAATGGTCAGGATCTGACCAGTGAAGTGTTTAAGTGTTGTTCAAATTATTCCTGATGATCACTCTCTTTGATTACTTTTCTCAGATTATTTTTTATTATAGGATATCTATAGTACTTCACTAAACAAGTTTAAGTTCTGCTGTTTTGATTTCTAGTGAGCTTATAAGATAATTTGTCAGAGGATGAATGTGTGGGAAAATATAAGAATTATAATTAAGAGTGTTTTGCTGTATTAGGGACTTTAAAAAATGGCAGTGATGAAGTGTGTTTTAATCCATTGTTTTTCTTTGTCCTCTCAGGTGGCTCTCCTTACTTAGCAATGAAAATAAATGAAGCAAAAGACTTGCTAGAAGCAACCACCAAACACTGATTGATGCTCAAGGACCACACTGAAGGAAGAAAGGGAGGGGGACTTAAAAAAAAAACCATCTTGCAAATTAATCTAAAACATAGTCTTCTTAATTTCCATACATAGATTTACAACAATCCTCTTCCTCCATTAAGCTATATAACAATAAAAGATAGAGTCTTGTTTTTTGTTCTCTTTTAAAAGAACCCCTCACAGTTCCATAACTGATCTTTTTTTATTCTTTTGTCTAGATGTTCATACTTATAAAAATTTTTGTTACACATGTTAGTCCTAAATTCACCCCTAAAACACACGTGTGCAGAAAGTCTGAGCGTTAGGAATGTGATTGGAGTCATAAGCAATGAGTAGAAATTTTCTTACTGCTTATATCTATACCCTCTTTGTCCCCTTTTTTTTACATAGGGGAATTTGGTACTCTGCCTCTGTAAGGCACTTTAAATATTTTGAAACCAAACACTAGCTGCCACCTCCTGGGAAAATGATCTGAAAAGTGTGATGGGATTTACTAAATGATGTTTTGTAAAGCGGTGGTTAGGCATTGTAAAAGAACTCTATCCTCTCTAAGATTCTATAGCTGAAGCATGAGAACTTAGAGAGCTACTGAAATGATTGAAGATTTATAAAATGAGCCCTAAGAGGAAAGGCTGAAAAGAGTTGGGAGAATCTGAGGAGTCTGTATGTAATTACAGTCTCCCAGGTCTGTGTTTGTATTCAGTTATTCATTCTACAGACACTTGTTGACCACCTATGATGTGTAAGGCACTGTACAGGGTCCCCTGAGAGCAACAAGTATGAACTGGTCCTGGATCCTCACCCAAAGGAACTTACATTTAGAGGAAGGATAAATCACGTAAATATTGAATACTGTTAGAGAAGTTCAAATGATATGTTAAAGAAGTTCAAAAAAAGAAAAACTGCATGTGTGGGGTGTTTCATGGAATATATAGCACACAGCAAGGCTTTACAAAATTAAACAGATGTCATACGATGGGTCAGCATTTCCCCTGAGGTCAGAATTAGCAGAAAAAGTCATATCAATTAGTGCGATTGGAGTGCAGGGTTTCTCCAAAGCAAGAGTTGGACAGAGTAGTCACGAAAGGCCAGCCCTGTGACTTACACTGCATAACGTTAATCTCTAGATCACAGTTCCTGAGCATCACTTTCTTATTCTACAGGTGAGGAAGCAGATTCAGATACAGAGCACCGGCATTATTTTCTAATACTCCTTTACAAATCCAGGCCTCATTCTAGGCAAACAGAACTATTGTTTTTCACGTACTTTAAAACACTTTTCAAATATCCTAAATGCATCTTTCAACTTCTGACATTCTGTGTGATGTTGACACTGTTGACATACTGGGCCAAATCTTTTTTTGGGGGGAGGATGGGGGAGCTTTCCTGTGCATCGTGGGTGATGAGCAGCATCCTGGCTGGCTGTTACCTACTGAAGACCAGCAACTCCTCCTCAGCTCTCACAGCCAAAAGTACTTCAGATGTTGCCAAATGTTCTTAGGAGAACAAAACTGTCTCCAATTAAAAGCCACTGCTGTAGATGTTTAATATTTTTTCTTTTGGTACATAAAGCAATGGTGTGACTTTAAATTCATTGAGCCCTAGAGGCAATAAAATGCAGTTCTTGCTTTCAAGTCCCCATGCGTGTCTTAGTTTCCTCATGCTATAACGCTTCTCATTTTTCTGTTCACTGTTATTTTTGCACCTAGAACACTGCCTTCATCCCTACATCTCCATATGCCCAAACTCTGGGCATAGTTGAAAGCCAAGCTGAAATGAATCTCTCTTTTTTCTGGTGCTTCTAGTTAAAGTAATATCATAAATTATCAGTTCTCCGAGACTGATACCATAATTGTCTTGTTCACTGCTACACTGGCACCCAGTAAATATTTGTTGCATGAATAAATTGCCAAGCACTTTATTCCTCAGTCATGGTACCTATAGCTTGGTGCCTTGTGAAACAACTCTTTGCATAATACATGTATACCTTATTTCTCCTACTAAAGTCCAAGAATGTTTGTAAAGGAGCACTTGCACTTAGTAGGCATCATGAAGTTTTAAATACTAAGAAAATGTTGCAGTTTTCTGAATACCGTATATCAAAGATGTTACCAATTAGGAAAGTTAATGCTAAACCGTGCATCAAAAATGTTACCACCAATTAGGAAAGTTAATGCTAAACAGTGTCATGGAATCTTCAGAGCACACCTTTTTTTTTTTTTTTTGGAGACCAGATCCTCAAGCTGTCCCCCTGGGTAGAGTGCCGTGGCATCTCAGCTCACTGCAACCTCCAACTCCTGGGCTCAAGCAAGTCTCCTGCCTCAGCCTCCCAAGTAGCTGGGACCACAGGCGCCCGCCACAACGCCTGGCTATTTTTTGGTTGCAGCCGTCATTGTTGTTTGGCGGGCTCAGGCTGGATTCGAATCCGCCACCTTGGGTGTACGTGGCTGGTGCCTTAGCCACTTGAGCCATAGGCGCCGAGGCCAGAGCACACCTTTTAATTGGCATCATATTTCCCTGATACACGCTGGGAGAATTTGAGTCACCTCAGTATTAACTTGGAATCTCCATCATTCCCATTTTCTTTGTGTGTGTCTTGGAGTCAGATGTGGTTTTGGATCTTATCCTAGTATGTGATTGGGCAGTTAATTTGCAACACTATAATCTCATCTATAAAATAGAGAGGGAAAGCCTTTATTAAGCTTGCTATAGGGAATAAGGGCATATAAAACATTTAGTCATACACCAAATGGTCCCCACAAAAGTATTGCCCTATTACTTTAATGTTTTAGACTACTTTGGATTAAAATTTGACTTGTGTTCCAATAGTTATTTATTTGACTCCTGAATCTGCTCCTTGGGTAGGACGCAGTGAGGGCAGCTCATCTCTAGTCCATGTGGCATTAAGAGAGCCAGCAAGTTGAAGTGGTTGTTGGCTGGAGGTCTTGGTTCCTCTCTACACAGGCTCTTCAAACATAGGCTTCTCCATGGGGGCTTCTCCCACAGCAGCTGTGTTACAAGAGGTACTGCTCCAAGAGACGGGAAGTGGAAGGTGCTAAACTCATCCTGGGTCTGGAAATGGCTTCTGCTGCACTGAGTTGGACTAAGTTGTAGAGCCTGCCTAGATTCAAAGGAGAGGATAAAGAGGATTGTGTAAGAATCTGTGGTCATCTTTAACATGTACCAAGGCAGGGCTGGGAATTTTGCCCCTTAGTCAAATCCATTAAGATATTACTTAAAAGAAAAAAAGCAGGCAAATTTAATATAACTGCATACTTGGAGTAGCTCAGGAAGTTTCAGACAATACAACTACTATTTCAGGCACCTATTCAGAAGTCATTCTCAAAATGGCAGTAGACTTAAAAAACTGGATTTTCACCAGCTATCTGCCCTCAACTTACTATCTGAGAAAACCTTCTATGAAGGGCTACTTATCTTCAGTGAAGATTGCTTTTACATATTTGCTGTCACTGCATATTCTGCTTAATTAAGCCCTTTGTTGATATTGCAGTTTCTGTTTATTCTTCCATCTTAGATGTAATCTGAGAGAACAGGAAGGACCTTTTAAAAACAAAACAGTTACTTGACAGATTCCAGGGAAAGTGTAAGTCAGATGGACAGCTAATTAAAGGGGAGCTTGGAAAGCCGTTTAAATAATAGTTGGTGGTGCCAATCTCCAGTGTAAAGTCAAAAGCGGAGAGAAATTTAGTAAGGAAAAAAGAATGCTGAGAGTGGAAGACGTCCTTGTATTTAGTCTTCAAAGCCCTTCCTTTATTTTGTTTGAAATGCATTTTAGTCATTCAGCAAATACTGAACACTTTCTGTGTGGGGCAGTGAAGCGTAAGCTCATTATTAAAATGTCCAGTGTGTTGATGCTAAATAGAAAAACATGCAGTCTCAAACAGATGACGTTGTGCCTCATACTTCTTAGAACTATTAGAACTATTAGAAGTTATATTACTGGGTGTGCTTATGATCACCCAGCAGGATCATTAGAAATAATGTATTTTATCCATGTTCAGAAATCTTTTGGTTGTCATGGAGAACCTTCAACACAGAAAAAAGCTTTAATTGATTTATCTTCAAGACCTTTTGCAATTAGTTTAATATAGTTTAATGACATTTATGGGAGAAGATGAATCAGCCAGGCCCTAATGTCAAGAATATGAAATTTCTCTGAGTCAACCAACTTGGGATAAGCTATGGAAACGTCAGTGTAAAGTTAAATATCCAGGTAAACCAGCTCATTTCAAACAGTGGGACTAGGCTGTCCACCATGGAAGAAAAGATTTCTATAATAATAGCTAATATTTGCTGAGGATCCGTGCCTCTGTGCCTCGCACAGCAGTCATCTGGACAGACCTCTGGCTACCAGGAGCACTGACGGGAATGAGTAAATACAGAGCATCATAATCTCCCCTTCAAGTGGAAAAGCAACCCAGAGTGTCCTGTTAACGCTAGACCTGTAGCATCTACTTTCCAAAAACAAATATGAGCGAAAATTTTATTTACAGTGGAACCATACACCTAACAAATTAGGATTTTTGTTAGTACAATGTATTAGTTGGAAAAGTTGAGAAGATTCTCTGGACTCATTTTAATAGGTAGAATCTAAGTGATCTGGATCACTGCCCACTGGCAAAATTGCTGGGCATGGTAGACAAAGAAAATGTTCCTTCTAATGATTTTTTATGAGCTGAGTAGCTATTGTTCCCAGCTGAGTGCTCTTTTCCTCTTTTTATTGTTGCTGAGCAAAAGAATTTATAAAAAGCTCTTTCTTTTTTATTAAAAACCCTGCTCAATTGAAATGCAAGTTCATTAAGTACCGTTCATTTCTCTTCTGCCATAATAACCCTTTCCCCCTCTGGTCTATTCAACAGTGCCTAGCAGCACTGGTCAACATTTTAAGTCTGAACAGACTATTATATAGATACAGATATGCAATCTCTAACATTAAGAGGGAGTTGAATTTCACCTGGACAGAATATGATCACTCAGGCTCTATGGTGGCCATAATTCAAATTAATGCCTCAAGTTGGGAAAAATATTCCCTGCAAAATTAAATCAATAGTGGTAAACTTACTTTAGTTATGATGGTATGAAAATCAGGCACACTGGATATTGATTCAATATTGATATTTACTAAGCTATAGTGC